ATGATCCTTAAAAACATTGAGAAGATCAAGAGGCCTCGGAGCAGCAATGCTGAGACCCTCTATTAAGTGTCAACGTTTGAACTTGAGAACTGTTCAGTCAACTAAAGACCGTCATTGCCTTGGTTTGTTACGTGACTATCGAGATGGGAAACTGGCTGGAAATAGTATTGCATTCTTAGTTAAACTCTAAAGAAATTCTTGCCTAGTTTTGTGATTGGTTTTGTTCAGGTCTCAGGAGCTCTCCCTCTTCCTCTAGTCACTGGTAGCAGAGGCCATGCTGCACTGGATGCCCCAGAGGCTGCAGCAGCCAGGCAGGGACATTCCTTCATGCCTTGCTTCCTACCTGAGTGGGAACAACACTATAGACCAAGCCCTTGTCCTGTCCCATCTCTTGTCTGGTGGCTGCACTGGGGTTTCTGGAGCAGGGCAAACAGCCCAGCACAAGGGCAGCCTGGCAGTGCCACAGCAGGGAAGCTCTCTCCCCACTGCTGGCTGTGGCCAGGCCGCTCTGCCACCAGCTCTGCACTGACCAGGGACCCTGCCCCTTGGCAGCTGTGCTCTGCTGCCTCTGAGCCATCTGCACTCCCTGTCTGGTGCTCTCCTGGCTCAGCAGAGCCTGCCCCACAGGTCTCTGCCTCACCAGTTCTGTCTGGATCAGTGCAGAGCATGAGGCAAATCCTTGGAACTAGAGCTGGTGCTGTCCTGGCTGTCATGAGCTCAGGTGGCTTCTGCCATTTGACTAGAGCCACTTTCTTGGCTGAAACCAATGTTCTTTCACATACATCCCAGTTGCCCCTTCAGCATGGGTTGCTTTTGCCTGGGCTGAGGGAAGGGAGGGAGGGGTTGGAGATCTGATGCTAAAGTCCTAAAATATCTCTGCATGTGATCAGACTGAGTCCCCCTGTCCCTGGCAGTGCTTCCTGGTGCCTGGGCAGAGCAGGCTGGCTGCCACAGCTGGTGCTTGATGGTGAGGGTGGCTGATACCCACCTGGTACCTTGCAGACCTTGCAGTTTTTCCCCTGCAAAGGGCACACTCCCGTGCCTCGTGACTCCTCTAAGCTGCCAGAACATTTCGTGGTCCATTACAAACCCCTCTGGAAATGACTGGTTGTATTGCGTCAGTTTTTGTGTGTGGCAAGTGGGCCCATAACGCTGCAGGCTTCAAAATTTTCTTATTTATAGTATTTCTACTTAAGTCCCCTAATCAGGGAATGTTAAATCATTTGTTTCAGGAACCTTGCTGTTTCCCAGGTCTCGCTGTTACACCTGTATATTCTTATTGTGCAGTAGCCTTAAGAGTTGTGTTAATCTCATTGTAACAACAGTGACAAAATTTTTTTTTTACTTTGTTTTTGGTTGGTTTTTTTTTTCCTCTGCTTCCACATCTAAGAGCCATGTTGTCTCTTGCTGGTTTCCCAGGGATTTGCCCAGAGTGTGGCGGGCTGCTGGCCCCTGCTATAGACTCTTCTGTTGTTGTTTGTAGTAAGTCAACTCTTAGTCTTCCCGCTAATAAATATTCAGTAACAAACCAACTGCGTTGAGCTGCTGTCTGGGAGCAGCACTTCCCCTTGTGTTTCTTTGTATTGATTCCTTTTAATTTGTTCAGCTTTCTTTGCGAGATGAACCTATGTAAACTTTTACCATGTCAAGAAATTAAAATAAGGTACTTGGAATTCTTTCAAGGCAGCCCCTTGTGTGTGATCTGCTGGGCTCTTAGGCCATGCAGTTTTAGTGTCCAGTTCTGGTTCTGCCTTTCTCACACTCAGCTGCTCCTTCCCTTCATTCTCCTCATTCCTCTTTGTTATAAACTAATCTGCTGTGTAGGTTGTTTCTGTTCCATCAGCATGCCTCACATTGGGCATGATTTTTCCCGTGGGCTTGGGATTGATGGAATCTGTCCCATCTCAGCCCAGAATGGGACTTGGGCTGTCCCAGTTCAAACAGACGTGGTGTTTCTCTGAGCCTGCAGTTGCTCAGGGTTTCTCTGCCAGGCAGGTGTCTCGTGGCTGTCCTGATCCAGCACCCAGTGTCTCTGTGGGACACACATCTCTTGCTCCTGGCTGCCCCCGTGTGTGGTACCCAAGGAGAGGCAGCTGCCCTGCAGTCCCCAGCCACAGTGCCCTCTGCTCTTCTGGGCATCATCCTGTTCCTGCCTTTCCTGTGTGCTGGGGCACCGAGGCCTCTCGAGGGGCACTCCAGGCTCTCCTGAGTGTCCTGCCCCCATCTGCAGGGCTGCAGCCCCTCTGAGCCAGCAGAGGGTCCATGGCTGGGTGCCAGACGAGTTGTGCCTGTCCTGGTCATGGTGCTGCCCAGCAGAGTCTGACTGGCCCTGGGAGCAGCTGCAGACTGGAGCTCTGGCTGTGGCACCTCCGGCTGCCCAGGAGTGGGAGCAGCCACTTGTGCAGGGAAGTTCCTGCAGTGTGGGAAAGCCCTGCAGGTGCCTGACCCGTGCAGGGAGGGGGCACTGAGCTGCACACAGATCTCAGGGCCAAGGCAGCTGGAGCAGAGCCCAAAGGAAGGACTTGCTGGCAGGACTTGGTGTGGTGCAGCACGAGGGGCTCCTCCTCACCCCAGTCAAAAAATCTGCACTCCCAGGGAGCCAGTGCCAGCACTCCCATGGGAGGATGGAGCATCCAGGACAATTGTCTTGGCAGGTGCTGGCAGGGAGTGGGGTTCCTCTGTGGGAGCAGGGGAGGGTTTGTTTTCTAGGAGCAGTTGCAGTGTGCAGTCAGGGCTCTCTGCTTCACCAGTCCTTGAAACATCCCAGCTAAAAGTGCAGGGGAGGAGAATAATGGCTCAGCAGCTGTGTGCAGCCACAGGCACTGCCAGCAGCACAGCTGGAATGGAGCAAGGGTCAGGCAGGTCCCACTGTTGTGCTTTGCATAAGCTGAGAGTGGGAGCTTTCTGAAGTCTGAGCTCTGGTTTGGGGCTTGCTCAAGCCTGCTGGTGTTGGGAGTGTTGGCAGGGGTGTTCCTCCTGTGCCCTTTCCCCAGCTGTCACAGTTACTGTCTCCGAGTTTCCCCAAGCCAAAGCCTGTCTGGTTTGGGTTTCAGTAAATTTCAGATGCTATTTTTTGCCACCTCTACCTTTCTGTGTGCGTGAAAAACAGCACTCCCATCTCCCTTGCTGTGTCTGGGGAACGTGGGCAATTTAGCAAATACAAGATGGGCAGTGCCTACAAGCAACCACGCAGCCAAAATAAAACATGGGTAGGATGTGAATTCTCCATGGGGCGTGGGTCAGTGATGGGCTGATCACACTGGGCACTGGCATGTGGGAAGCAGTACGTGCACTGAGCAGGTCATAAACAAGTTAGGGAGAAGTTACAAGTTGCTGCTGTTATTACAGAGACGTGCAATTTCTTTAATTCTAGGTTAGCTTTAAGCTGCTGCAGGCTCCTTTTGGAGAGGGTACACAAGCAATTCCATGGTGTGTGTGGCCCCCAAAGATCCCTCATTGCTTTCCATCAGGCAGCTATTGACACAGGTTCTGGCTCTGCAGACTTAGTTAATTACTCTGCTTCCTCAAATTCCTACTGCAGGATGAAGATGGATTTAGGGCTGTTTTGTTTATTCTGAATCAGCTTTAAACCAGCACTGGAAAAGTCCAGCAGAAACAGACAGGACTAAAAAACCTGTTATCAGACAAGGCCTCCGTGGCACAGGCTCTGCAGTGGGGCAGAGGCAGTGCAGAAAGCTGCCATCCTTATCCAGCAGCCCTGGGGTGTGTGCTGTGGTTGGTTTGTCATGGGGATGTCAGTACAGATTAGGGTTTCTCTTTCTTTCCAAGCCCCCAACGTGCAGAGAACCAGGAGTGTTCCCACAGTCTATTTCTGGATCTCTCTCAGCCCAGCTGCAGGGTTGAGTTGTGATTTGTGGGGCAGGAAGGCCTGTGGAGTTTTCCTAAACTACTGCTGTGCTGCTTGGAAAGGGCCCTTCTGTAATTGCAGCCTGTGGCGTGGCTTTGAGGAGCTGGAGATGCAAACCCAAGGGGCAAAGTCAAACCTGAACAATCTCTTTGTGCTTCTCAAAGGAAAGATCCACATGAGCTTTGTCCTGCAGCCATGGAGGTTCTGTTGCAGTCTCACCTTGGCTGTGCTGGTGTGTGTGCCAGCAGAGCACTTGTCCCATTCCTGGGAGGCAGCAGGTATGTCCTGGCTGTGCTCCAGACCTGACTCAGGACAGCAGTGTTTTCTGTGCTCCAGACCTGGCCCAGGACAGCAATGTTTTCTGTGCTCCAGACCTGGCCCAGGACAGCAGTGTTTTCTGTGCTCCAGACCTGGCCCAGGACAGCAATGTTTTCTGTGCTCCAAACCTGACCCAGGACAGCAATGTTTTCTGTGCTCCAGACCTGGCCCAGGACAGCAGTGTTTTCTGTGCTCCAGACCTGGCCCAGGACAGCAGTGTTTTCTGTGCTCCAAACTTGACCCAGGACAGCAGTGTTTTCTGTGCTCCAAACCTGACCCAGGACAGCAGAGCTGCTGCTCTCTGCTCCAAGTGAAATGGGCACCATGTTCCAGGCCAAAACCAAAAGGGAATTTTTCTTCCAAGCCTAACCTCAGGTAATCCTTGAAACCTGACTGACTAGGAAATCAGTGCTGCTTTGCCTTGTTTGGCGTTACCCAGAGGCATTTGATTCTGCTGCTGGGAGCTGATGAGAGCAGGTATTTCTGCCACCTGTGGCTGCTGTGTCCCATGCAGCCACGGCTCTGTTTTCCTCTGTGCTGTCCCTGCCCGTGCTGTGTCTGTGCTGCAGCGAGCCCTTTGCTGGCTCTGTGGCTGCATGAAGCAGAGCTGTGGCTCTGAGGCTCTCCTGGCTGGTGAGGCAGAGCCCTGTGTGCTGGCACAGACATGGTGAGTGTGTCCCTGGCCTCACAGCTGCCCTGAGGAAGGCTCAGGCTGCCAGTGGTGCTGAGGATAATGGAGTGTGTCCCACGGCAATGTGGCTTTCTGCCTCCCAGCCTGGTGTCTGAGCACAGAGGGGTGAGCCCCAGGCAGGATGTGCTGCAGAGGAAGAACCAGGGGCTGGTGGGCGCTGTCTGCCATCAGGAAAATGATGCAAGGAAGAGAAGACGAGGGTGAGGTGAGGTGAGGCTGGCAGCAGGAGTGGAAATATTGGGTTGAATCTCCAGCCATGGTTCTTTTGGATGCCTTGTCCTACTCAGCACCAGCTCTGGGACTGCAGCCAAGGTGGTGAGTCTTGTCTACCCCGAGCATCTGCTGCGTGGCAGGAGGGAGCACCAAGTCCTGGCTGCCTTGCTCTGCCAGGGCTGTGAGCAGCACTGAGGCCAGCAGGGACTGTCCTTGGGGTGGCACAGAGCAGCTGTGCTGCCCAGCCTGGGCACTGGCTTGGCAGCACTGACAGCAGGCACTGCCAGGTGTGGGTTCAGGGTTCTTCTCTCCTTGAGGGAACCTCTTGGAAGCTGCACCTCGGTTTATCTGTGAATTGGAGGCAGAGACAAAGGCTGGATGATCCTGTGGCAGTGCAGTGCTGGGGATAAATTGGCTCAGAGCTGGTCTGAGGTGCAAACTAAGAGCTGCTTGTTCACAGCACGTTGGGGCCTGATTCTCATCCTGAACTACATCTCCATGCCTGCCAAAGTTTTTCTGCTGCTACACAGAAGGATGTGTTTTCAGCAAAGGCTTCCATGTGGAAGACTGAAAAAAATTAAATAAAAAGTAACTCCAAGCTTGGAATGGTGTTGCCAGGGAGAATGTTTACAAGGAAGCAGCCTGATAAACAAGGAAAAGCGGTGAGTTGTAAAGAGGTGAAATTGTACAGTGTGGCAACAATTCCGAGCTTGTCAGAGCCTCACAGTGGTCACAGCCACCACAGGCTGACTGCAGAATCTCCGTTTTTACAGGCAGCCTCAGGAAAGCAGGCTGGACTGAAAAAGTAACGGAATTATGTGGAACTTGTCTGAGTCACTGACCCTACATCTCCACAAGTTCTTTCAGGGCACTGCTGTGAAGGAGGACCAAAGAGGCTGCAGCTGAGAGGAGATCTGCCCTTTCTGGTCACCAAGGGTTTCAGATCTCCTCCCCTAGCCTCTCCCAGTCTTTTGTACTTTCTGTGTTAATCCATCCAGTGCAGCACACACTGACAGAGGCAGGAGCTGGAAAGCCTGCTCTGAAAGTCTCTGAATGCTGCTGGACCAGCTGCAGGCATGAACCTGAAAACCGTGCTCATCCTCCTCGGTCTGGCATTAGCCACGATCTTCGCTCTGGTCTGCGTGCTGCTGACCAGAGAAAGGACCCCCAGAAGCTGCCAGCACCTGCCCCCGGAGCAGGAGGACACGGAGGATGGGCAGAGCCTGGTGTTTGCTGACCTGACAGCTGAGGAGATGTCCCAGGTGGTGCTGTACCTGCGGGGCCACCTCGGGGTGCCGCTGGTGGACGCGTCCCGTGCCAAACCCTCGGAGAACTGCATCGCCTGGCTGGATCTGCAGGTGCCCGCCAAGGCAGAGGTGCTGCGGTTCCTGGACGGCGGCGGGGCTCGTCCCCCCCGGGAGGCTCTGGCCGTGCTGTACTTTGGGCAGCAGCCAGAGCCCAACATCACCGAGTACGTGGTGGGGCCGCTGCCCGGGCCGGCGTACCACCGGGACGTGACGGTGCAGAAGTACGGGGGGAAGGTGCCCTACCACCGCAGGCCCACGCTGGCTGTGGAATACAAGCAGATCGGAGGGTTTCTGAAGAGCCAAGTGTTCCCCTCGGCTCCAGCTTTCATGCAACAAGTAATGGAGTACGACGGAGCCAATCTTGCCGCGGTGACGGCCGCTCCCCGCGGATTCCAGTCTGGGGATCGGGTCACCTGGTTTGTCCTGTTTCAGAACGTGAGTGGATTCTTTGTGCACCCGGTGGGGCTGGAGGTGCTGGTGGACCACAGCAGCCTGGACGTGTCGCAGTGGGCGGTGAGCAGGGTGTTCTACAACGGGCAGTACTACAGGGACATGGTGCAGCTGGAGAGTGCCTACGTGCAGGGTCGGGTCAGCGTGGAGAAGGTGAGGAGAGCACCGTGGGACGGGGACTTCTCGTCCATGAAGCCCCGAGCGCCTGCGGCCGCGCTGTTCCCGCTGCAGTTTGAGCCGCAGGGTCCCCGCTACAGCGTCAGGAACAACCGGGTGCTCTTCCAGGGCTGGAGCTTTGCCTTCGGGATGAGCGTGAGCACGGGCCTGCGGCTGTTTGACATTCGACACAAGGGGGAGAGGGTTGCCTATGAGATCAGCGTGCAGGAGGCGCTGTCCGTGTACGGCTCCAACTGCCCGGCCGGGATGTCCACCCGCTACATGGACGGCAGCTTTGGCCTGGGCCGCTACACCTCGCCCCTGGTGCCAGGGGTGGACTGCCCCTACCTGGCCACCTACGTGGACACGCACTCTCTGTCTGACAGCCTGAGGCCCAAGAAGAGGAAGGCTTCGCTCTGCGTCTTTGAGCACAACCTGGGCTCCCCTCTGAGGCGCCACTACTCCAACTTGCAGTCGCTCTACTACGGGGGGCTGGTCAACTCCGCTCTGGTCCTTCGCTCCATCGCCACCGTGGGCAACTACGACTACGTGTGGGACTTTATCTTCTACCAGAACGGGGCCCTTGAGGGCAAGGTGCAGGCCACGGGGTACCCAAGCTCGTCCTTTCTCCATGGGGATGGCCTGAGATACGGCAATAGGCTTTGGGAGCACACCCTGGGTACGATACACACCCATTTTGTCAACTACAAGGTGGACTTGGATGTGGGAGGTAGGTCTGGATGTTCTCTTAATGCCTGCCATTGTTCTGATAAGCCCCAGAGCTTTGGGGTTTGCCTCCTCGTCCATACAGTCCCTAATAACTCACATCAGAACTCTGCTTCTTTATTCTCCTAACCTCTTCTTTCATCGCAAAATTATCTTTCGATCTATAAAACAGTCTGTCAAGGTCATTGAGTGGAAAGCAGTGGGAATTTCTGGGAGCTCTGTGTTCAGCTCAGGGAAAGTATGAAAGGTAGCAGCTGAAAAATGTTTGTGTTTCCTTGAGGCCTCCCGTCTGGCACGGTGTGTGTTGCCACAGGCAAGGCCGGGCAGACGGGGAGTTGGCCCTGTCTGAGCACAGAGTGAGCCTGCTTTCACAGCACTGCTGCTGCTCCTGGCACTCCTTCTCCCTTGGGAAAATCCTCCTGGTGTCTCACTGCCCCATGTAAAGCAGGGCAGGTATCCTGGTGCTCAGTGGGGCTGAGCTCCTGCAGATCCCTCCCCTTCTTCCCTTGAGGAAACACTGGGGTGTTGGATCCTGGATTGTGAAGCTGCTACAGCGACCCAGCGAGGTCCCCTGCTCCCGTGTGCAGTCACAGCCTGGCAGTGGATGTCTGCACAGGGTTTTTGAGCCCAGGAGCAGCCCCCTGCTCACAGTGAAGTGCTGGCAGCTCCCTGGAAGTGCAGGGATGCTCGGGGCACCTCTGAGTCGCCCAGAAGGCGATGGCAGCTCCTGCAGTCTGGGGACAGTGGGGCCAGACCTGGTGCCTGTTGTTGAAAACAGCTTCTGTCAAAGGCAGAGGGAAAATGTTCTACATCTGCACAGGACCGAAGAGGTCGCTGGTGGGCAGTGGCTACATCTGACCAGCCTAAAGAGAAATGCAGGGACAGGGAACAGGAACAGCCCCAGGGATCCCGGCTGTCTCCTGCCGTGTGGAAAGTAACCTCAGAGCTGTGTTGGTCAAGCTGCAGCTAACCCCAGAGCAAGCATTTGGTGTCCTCCTGTGATGCAGGGGTTTGTGTGGCCTTGAAAGGTGCTGCTGCTGTTGTTACAGTCAAAATCAGGGCTGGTACTGGTTCCTTCCTGCAAGCAAGGCTCAAGAATGTGCTAAAATACCGTTCCTGTTTGGGGGTAAGGTCCTTTTCTGTGACTTCAATGCCCCTGTGTTTACAGAGCCTGAGCCCTGACTGCTGTACAGCCCTCCTGAGCAGAGCTGTGTAAATCCCAGACTGTTCCTGTGGTGAGAGGGGAGCCCTGTCCAGGCAGGAGGGCTCGGGGCTGTGTAGGGAGCTCCTGCAGATCCCTCCCCTCCTTCTCTTGAGGAAACACTTGGGTGTTGGATCCCGAGTTGTGGAGCCACTACAGTGACCCAGAGAGGTCCCCTGCTCCCGTGTGCAGTCGCAGCTTGGCTGCCCCAGGTGCTTCCAGTGTGCAGGATGAGCAGTAACAAACTTGTGCTCTAGTTAATTAGACTGTGCTTGCGTGGGAGGCAAACCTGTCCTTCTGTCCTGGGGTGGAAGAACATCCCTTGTCCCCTCTTGTCTCTCATAGCCTCTGCTGCAGAGTGGTGCTGCCCAGCTTGGACAAGTGTCCAGCCCTAGGTCCACACAGGGGGTGTTGTCATGGCACGTGGGGCTGCAGAGCAGCAGCTGCTCCTGGACAGGGTCAGTGCTCAGAGCCCAGGGAGAGCAGGCACTGTGATGTCCTTGGGGAACAGGGCACTGTGGGCACTCTCCTCAGTTACTTTGTTTTGGCTCCACAGGGGTGAAAAACTCCCTCATGGCCCATGACATGGCATTTGAGATGGCACAGGCTCCCTGGAGCCCAGAGCAGCAGATAGAGCGGCCACGACTCACCAGGAAAGTCCTGGACACAGAAGACCAGGCTGCCTTCCGACTCCAGTCCAAGATGCCCAGATACATCTACTTTGCAGCCAACAGCAAAAACAAGTGGGGCCACCAGCGTGGCTACAGGATCCAGATCAGCAGTTCTGCAGGGGACCACATCCCCGAGGCCAGTTCCATGGAGAGGGCCATCAGCTGGGCAAGGTCAGGCTGCTGTGGCTGGCGTGGCAGGCTCTCAGAGACCCCCTCAGCCCTGCCAGCTGGGAAGGCATTGCTGGATGTCCCTTGATGGGAGGCACAGGGAAGCACTCTTCTGGGCTTGCTCCATCCGAGCAGGCCTGTGCTCTGCAGGCTTTCAGGAGTTGATTTAGCTCTGCCCTGCCTCGGGGGGCTGCTCCCCTCTCTTTTCTTGTCCTCAGGTACCAGCTGGCTGTCACCCGGAGGAAGGAGGAGGAGCCCACCAGCACCAGCATCTACAACCAGAACGACCCCTGGACACCCACTGTGGCCTTTGCTGACTTCATCAACAACGAGACCATCACCAACGAGGTGAGCTGGGGTCTCTGGGCTGGAATGCAACACCCAGCCCAGGCTCAATGGGAGCCCCAAGGAGCAGGGAGACTCCAGCACCACCCCTGGGACAATGTGCCCAGCTTTGAGAGCAGCAGCCCAGAGGAAAGTGGGCTTGAGCATCCCCTTCTCTGTGTCTGCTTGGTACTTTGGTCAGAGAACACAGAGAGTGTGTGCAGAGCAGAGCTTGTTTCTCCTGAAATATGAGTCTCCTCAAGCCAGGTCTCATAAGCTCTGGGAGATCTATTTCACACCAAAGATAGCTGAGCTACCTTAGAAGGCATAAAATCAGCAGAATGGCTTCTGTGGTAGTGTTGGAAACAAAAAGGTTTTAATAAAAGCCAAAATAACAAACTCTTTACAGAGAAAAACCGATCCAGGTGCAAGAGGCCCTCTTGCTCTTGGTAAAACACCTCACAAATGTGATCACTCTGTCAACAAAAGGCTCAATGGGAGCCCCAAGGAGCAGGGAGACTCCAGCACCACCCCTGGGACAATGTGCCCAGCTTTGAGAGCAGCAGCCCAGAGGAAAGTGGGCTTGAGCATCCCCTTCTCTGTGTCTGCTTGGTACTTTGGTCAGAGAACACAGAGAGTGTGTGCAGAGCAGAGCTTGTTTCTCCTGAAATATGAGTCTCCTCAAGCCAGGTCTCATAAGCTCTGGGAGATCTATTTCACACCAAAGATAGCTGAGCTACCTTAGAAGGCATAAAATCAGCAGAATGGCTTCTGTGGTAGTGTTGGAAACAAAAAGGTTTTAATAAAAGCCAAAATAACAAACTCTTTACAGAGAAAAACCGATCCAGGTGCAAGAGGCCCTCTTGCTCTTGGTAAAACACCTCACAAATGTGATCACTCTGTCAACAAAAGGCACATCCCTATATTCTCCCTGTGGAGAAATGCTGGCAAAATGTCATGAAAATCTCTGTGAGGCCAAAGTGAGGCCATGGAGGTCAAGGCAAGGGTCCTTCCACTGGGTGAATATCTGCAGCCATGGCTGTGGCAGGTCTTTGGGAAGGGAGGAGCTTTCCCAGGAGAGAGGAGTTTGGTGTGTGGGAATGCAGCTGGCTGGTGCCCATCGGGGTCCCCCTCCTCCTCTGTCACTCTCCACTGCCTCACGTGTATTTTGGTCACTGCAGCTTCTGAAGTAACCCTGGGCTTGTGGCTCTTCCCTGCCTAGGACCTGGTTGCCTGGATAACTGCTGGCTTTCTCCACATTCCGCACTCTGAGGATATTCCCAACACTGTGACCGTGGGAAACTCGGTTGGTTTTCTCCTGAGGCCCTACAACTACTATGACCTGGACCCCTCTATATACTCCCAGGATGGTGTGTTCTTCACCAGCGAGCAGGACTTTACAGCATGTGAAATCAACCCTCTTGCCTGCTTGCCCAAAACTGCCTCCTGTTTGCCAAACTTCCCACCATTCACCTATGATGGTTTTCGAAATATGAGCAGGGTTTAATTCTGCAGGATGGTGAGGAGATGTGGTCAGAGACACCAGGCTGACCGTTCTGTCTCCGATTTTCAGCTTTTTAGTGAAGTTGTCTCCATTTTCAGTTGTCCAGTGACTTCACATTTTGTCATTGCTTTTGAAATAGTGCTCTTGAAGAGGGAAACATGATTTTCCTAGCATGATGTGAGATGGAAGTCTACATTATCTGTTAGTTCCTGAACTTGAGTCTATTGCCAGAGGAAAGTGAGGAGAGAATCCTGTTCCTCTGCTGTAGAAGCAAGTGCTGTGTAGTGCATATCTCAGGTTAAAATAATGAAAATGGTGCTGGTCCAATGCTCTCAAGTGTCTCGTTCTTACAACTTACAGCAGCGTCTCCTGGGGGTGGTGCTGGTCTCTGCCATGTTTCCTGTGCCCACAAACCAGCCCAGCGTGGCTCTGGGTCTTGTCAGGGCACGGGGATGTCCAGCTGGAGGGCAGGAGGGACAAGCTGTGGTGGAGGTGGGCACTGGCACCAAGCCCTGTGGCTGTTGGGCTGTTGGGTCGTGGCCAGGACTGTGTGGGTTGTGGCTCTCAGGCCCTCAGTGCTGGGCACAAGGCGGGGATCTGGACAGGACCTTGCAGGAAGGGGTTTAATGGCTTTAATGGTTTCATCTTTCCTGGCTGTTGGTGATGCAGGATGGCCAGTGCCACTGCCTGTTTGGCTGGACCCTGTTCCCCTCCTCCAGCCCCATCTGTGCTAGGCTGTAACTCAGGATCAGTGGGCACCTTTGGAAGGTGACAAACAGCTGTCCCCTGCCCCCTGGCTGCAGGACCATGGGGATGCTGGCAGCAGCAGTGATGGCAGGGCTGTGTCAGGATGGGGCAGTGGTGCTGTGTTTAGCACTGCTCTGCACTGGGAAGGATTGTCTCTCCAGCCACTGCTGCCAGCCCAGCATCTGCGGGGTTAAGAGAAAGAGAAGTGAGAATGTGCTTATTCCCCCTAAACAACTGCATCCATCCTCTCCAAGCTCTGCAGTGTAGGATCTGGGACCAGAGGGAAAGGACAGATGTACAAACATTGAATTTACTTAACATTATGGCTCTCTAGGGAAGCACAGCAAAGTTGCCTTTTATGGTTCCCAGCAAATCCTGGCAATGTGTGAGAACGTCCCCTTGCACCCTCCCTACGAGTTCCTCGGGCTGTTCCCTGCTGAGGAAACAGGGGAGGAAAATAAACCCGAGCCAACCCAGCCCCTTGTTTTAGTGAGCTGCTGGGAGGATTCCACAGCTGGAAACTTGTCCTGCCAGACTGCAGGAGCACTGAAAACAGTGCAGGCATGAGCCTGAAAACCGTGCTCATCCTCCTCGGTCTGGCATTAGCCACGATCTTCGCTCTGGTCTGCGTGCTGCTGACCAGAGAAAGGACCCCCAGAAGCTGCCAGCACCTGCCCCCGGAGCAGGAGGACACGGAGGATGGGCAGAGCCTGGTGTTTGCTGACCTGACAGCTGAGGAGATGTCCCAGGTGGTGCTGTACCTGCGGGGCCACCTCGGGGTGCCGCTGGTGGACGCGTCCCGTGCCAAACCCTCGGAGAACTGCATCGCCTGGCTGGATCTGCAGGTGCCCGCCAAGGCAGAGGTGCTGCGGTTCCTGGACGGCGGCGGGGCTCGTCCCCCCCGGGAGGCTCTGGCCGTGCTGTACTTTGGGCAGCAGCCAGAGCCCAACATCACCGAGTACGTGGTGGGGCCGCTGCCCGGGCCGGCGTACCACCGGGACGTGACGGTGCAGAAGTACGGGGGGAAGGTGCCCTACCACCGCAGAGCCGTCACCGGCAGCGAGTACGCCGATATCAACGCCCTCGTTCACAGGGAGCTCAAAAAGGCGCCGCGCTTCCTCGCCGCCTGCTGCGAGTCTGACGGGACCGACCTGGTCACCCTCACCACAGCCCCACGGGGCTTCAAGTCCGGTGACCGCCTCACCTGGTTTGTTCTTTTCCACAATGTGCCTGGCACCGGCTACTACCTGTCCCCAGTGGGGCTGGAGGTGCTGGTGGACCATGGGGACCTCCACGTCTCCCGGTGGCAGCTGCGCAAAGTCTTCTACAACGGCCGGTACTTTGCCAGCACGGGGGATCTGGAGCAGGAGTTTGTGGCTGGCACACTGGAGGTGGTCAGGCTCAAGCAGCCCCAGGCTGATGCAGTTCTGGGCTCAATGAAGCCCCGGCGCCTGCCTGGGCCCCCGGGCCCGCTGCAGTTTGAGCCGCAGGGTCCCCGCTACAGCGTCAGGAACAACCACATCACCTTCCAGGGCTGGAGCATCGCCTTCGGCATGAACCCCAACACCGGCCCGCGCCTCTTTGACATCAGGTACCGCGGGGAGAGGATTGTCTATGAGCTGAGCCTGCAGGAAGCCTTAGCCCTGTACGGCTCCAACTGCCCGGGGGGAATGTCCACCCGCTACCTGGACGGCAGCTTTGGCATCGGCAGGTTTGCCTACGAGCTGGTGCGGGGCCTGGACTGCCCCTACACAGCGACCTACGTGGACCGGCACTACCTGGCAGAGACAGATACTCCCAAAACCAACCAAAACTCCCTCTGCATTTTTGAGCACGACTCTGCCCTCCCTCTGAGGCGCCACTTCTCCGACTCACAGTCCTTCTACTACGGCGGGCTGAGGAAAAACACGCTGGTCATCCGCAGCATCTCCACGCTCATCAACTATGACTACATCTGGGACTTCATGTTCCATGCCAGCGGGGCCGTGGAGGTCCGGGTGCACGCCACTGGCTACATCAGCTCCTCCTTCTTCCATGGCCGAGGCACCGACTATGGCAACAGGGTTGGGCCTCACACGCTGGGGACGATGCACCTCCACCACATCCACTACAAGGTGGACCTGGATGTTGACGGTAGGTCTGGCCACCTTTGTGCATGGCTGTGGTTTACTGTGGCCTGGGCTGCAGAGCTTGAGAGGGTTTTCTGTTCTGCTTCACAGGGCAGCTGAACTCCGTGGAGACCCAGGATATGGAGTACGAGTTTGTCAGAGATCCCTGGAGCACACAGAGCACCATTGAGCGGCCATACCTCCGCAGGGAAAGGCTGCAGAGGGAGGATGAGGCAGCATTCCCACTCCATGTCCCCATGCCCCGCTACCTCTCCTTTGTCAGCCCCAATCCCAACAAGTGGGAGCACCCACGCAGCTACAGGATCCAGATCATCAGCTTTGCTGGGAAGCACCTGCCCACCAACAGCTCCATGGAACGCTCTGTCAGCTGGGGCAGGTGGGTGCCAGGGCTGTGCAGCCTGAGGCTCAGCTGCTTCTGCTCCTGGTGGAGGGAGGTTCTCACCCCTGGGCAGGTCTGCACCAGGCTGCAGGGAAGGGTTAAACAAAGGGTTAAAGCAAACACGCTTTTTCAGAGCTTTTGGCTCTGAAATTTCCTTGACATGTTGCTCAATAACATCTGCTTATGGTAGTTCACAGGCAGGAGTCTGACCCCACGTCAGACTAATTTAGAGCAACCCCGTGTGTTTTTCCCTTTGAGGGGAAGTAGGCTGCAGAATGAATTCCTAAGGGAAGCACTGGCATTGCCAGGTTGTGATATCTTCCCACGAGGACAGAATGCCTTTTTGGAAAATGCTTGGGATAAGCACAGACCAGTCTCACTGCCAGGGTGAACTGGTGGAGCTCATGCTGGGGAAGTCTGTGTGGGGAGAAGCAGCTGTGGCTTAAGGGAGTGCACTGGGCACTGAGTGGCAGCGTTTGCACCTGGATCCATCCACGTTTCCCAGCCATGCTGGAAAAGCCACAGGCAGCAAGGGATCCCCCACAAAGCTTGGAGATGCTGGGGCTGCTGCCCATTATTGCCCTCTTGGCCCTTTCCTCCCTGCCCCAGGGCAGACTGGGGATGCCCAGCCCCAGTTTGGCAGTGCCTCCCTGCTGGCAATGCCATGGCTGGCGTGGCCAGGCCCCTGTGACCCCTGTGCTGGCAGGTACCAGCTGGCTGTCACCCGGAGGAAGGAGGAGGAGCCCACCAGCACCAGCATCTACAACCAGAACGACCCCTGGACACCCACTGTGGCCTTTGCTGACTTCATCAACAACGAGACCATCACCAACGAGGTGAGCTGGGGTTCCTGGGATGGAGGGAAGCTGAACCTTGTGGGGACACCCTGGCTCCTGCCCTGGACAGAAGCTGCTCCTGTCCCAGAGCCAGACTGAGCAGCTGCTGGGCTGGCAGAGTCCTGCTCAGCCTGACAGATGCCTCGTTCCTCTTCTCCCAGGACTTGGTTGCCTGGATCACTGTGGGGTTCCTGCACATCCCTCATGCTGAAGACATCCCCAACACAGTGACAGTGGGGAATGGTGTTGGCTTTTTCCTGAGGCCCTACAACTACTTCAACGAGGACCCCTCAGTGGATTCACCTGACAGTGTCTACTTCAGCAGTGAGCAGGATGCTGGGGCATGTGGGGACAATCCCCTTGCCTGCCTGTCCCCTGCTGCCACCTGTGCCCCCCGCCTGCCCCCCTTCCACTTTGGGGGCTTCCTCAACCTCAGCCTGGCACCGCCTCTTGGCGGGCCCTGATGGGCCAGGGGCTGCTGCTGCCTCTCGGGTGGGTGCTCAGAGGGTCTCTGTCCCACAGCAGGACCTGCCCTCCCCCTGCCCAGGGTGTCCTGTGCTCAGGGTCAGGTTTTGGGAGAAGCTCAGCTCTTGTTTCATCACTGCCAGAGGAGGACCCAAAGCCTCTGAAAAGCAGCTGCTGGAAGTGATTTTTTTGTTTCACCCTGGATGTCACCCTGGGTACTGTGGGGTGCCCACAGCTGCTCCCCTCCTCCGGGATGGGCTTCCACCACCTCCCCATCGCTGCTGCACACAGGGGCACAGTGCTGGCCACAGCACAAAGCTGCAGCTGCCCTCGGAGCTGTGATCCAGCTGAGGTTTTGCCCACAGTGGCAGGAGTGAGTGGTGTGGTGCTGCTGTGGAACTGCCACAGGATGCCCAAATCTCCTCCCCAGCCACACAGCCATTGCAGCATCGAGGGCCAGCAGGGCCAGCTCTGCAGAGGGAGGTGCTGCCCTGGGCTCACTGGGAGGCTGCTGGAGGAGCCCATGGCTGCAGGAGCCCACGGCTGGGCCTCTGGATGGGCACTGCCCGGGCTGGCTGCCCCGTGTGTGCCCTTCCCAATAAACAAGCACTCGAGTGCTTCTCCTGAACAAACTCCCGGGTGCTGCTCTGTCTCCTGTGGCACGGCTGAAGCCCTGTTAGGGATGGCACTGGCTCAGCTCTGTGGGGCTCCCAGGGCTGTGGGGCTGCCCCAGAGCCTGGCACCGTGCCTGGCATGGCTGTGTGAGTTGTCCTGGCGATGCTCCTGGACCCCGGTGCTGGCAGGAGGCTCCTGCCAGGGAATATGGAGCAAACAAGGGAGTTAATGTTTAACAGTTGTTCTGAGCTGTGTTAATCAGTCCTGGGCTTGGCTGCTGCCCAGCCTGCTCAGCCCCCCTGTGTGGGGACCCTTGATTCCACACCCCTAGCTGCATGTGCAGCTCTGGGCTGCAGGATCCCACAGAGCCCCTCCCCACCGTGCCAGGCTGGCGTGGGGACACCAAGAAGCTTGGTGACACCAGTGCCAGCCCTGGCCCATGGCTGAGATACTAAACACTCACCAAAGTGTCCCTGGGGGCACGGTGGGTATCCATCCCCTCTGACCCCTCCTGCAGTGGATGTGTCTGTCCAGAACATGCTGAGAGGGGCTTGAGCAACCCCAATGTCTGAGCATGTGCCCCTGGGAGCCAGCTCAGCTTGCTGCAGCACGTGGGAGAGGTGAGGGGAGGAGAGGGCAGCTCAGGCCATGGCTCAGTGTGGGGCTGCAGCGGCCCCTGGGTGCCCTGGGCTGTGCCCAGAGGAGGAAGGTCGTGCCCAGCCAGCTCCCTGCCCACCGTGTGCCCACATGTGCAGTGCTGACGCAGTGACCACGCTGCCACAGCCCAGCCTGGACCTTGCAGCTGTCAGGGAACATTCCGGACCAAACACGGGCACTCCACGTGGCACGTTCAGCCCCCACTGGTGCTGTGCTGGCCAGAGCTGCACCTGGAACCTTGGGCAGCACGGGCACAGCCTGTGCCAGAGCCTTGGGAGCACGGGCACAGCGTGTGGCAGAGCCAGCTGCTGGCACTGCAGTCACACAGCTGGGCAGAAGTTGGGCTCCCCCAGCCTGGCCCCAGTCCTTCCCTGGAAAGCCAGCCCCTTTGCAGTTCACATCCCAGTGGTGCTGCCGGCAGGGCTGTACAGAGCAGCACCCTGAGCATTGTCAGACCAGGCAGAATGCAGAACCCTGCAGTGCCCAGGCAGCTCTGCTGCCCTGCCCTGCCCCAGGTCCACACAGTGACTTTGGGGCTGGGGATTTATCCACAGGGCAGGGCATGCAGCAGTGCTGGGACCGTGTGGCACATCTGGCAGAGTCCTGACCTGTGGCATGTGCACCTGGCACTGCACAAACACACTGGGGTACTGGGCTGAGCCACTCTGTCCTCTGTGCTGGGAGGGAGGAGGTGGCTGCTTCCATCCTGCTTCCTGCTCTCTCCCCATTATGGCCCCAGTTTTCCTGCAGTGACTTTTTCCTAGGGGACTGGAGTGCTAGTCCCCATCCCCCAGCACCTTTTGCCCCATTTTCTGCTGTGAAATCTCCTGGGAAGGATTTATTGCTGATGGTTTCAAAATATTTTTGGAACAGAAGCCAAGTCTGTTGCATTCCTTCACGTTGGCCAAAGTCACTCTCAGTTGAAGACCCTGGAATGAGCTGTTAGGGAATTTATTTTGCAAGAGTAATTATGTTTCTGTGCAAACTTCTTTTGTGTTGGGATATTTTGCTGGTCAGGAGCTCAGTCCAGGGTCTGGGACCACCTTCCTTGGGTGCAGCACAGCCAGGCTGGATGGGACATGCCTGCAGCAGGGCTGAGTCTGTGTCTGTGGCCTTTGCTTGCTCTCCTCCCAGGCCATCCATGCCCATATCCCAGGGAGCAAGGTTTGCTGGTGTTTTGCCTGTCAGACCCCATGGATCTGCATGGCCAGAGGGGCAGGATGGGGCCTGTAACTCCTGCTGTTTGTCAGCAGGACTCAGGACTGGACACAGCTCTCACAGAGACAAACAACCTAGGGCAGGGGTTCAAGGATCCTGACATGAATTTTCTCAGGAGGGAGATAAGTGATGCATTTCACTGGCTGTTGATCATTAATGCCCTGCTGCCTGCTCAGCTCTGGTGGGTGCTGGCTGGGCACCCTGTGCTGCTGCCACAGGGCTGTGTCCAGGCACTGGCAGTTGTGGGTGACAAAGATGCAGTGCCAGCACTGCTAGCAGGGACAGCAGAGTGCAGCTGGGGTGGAGGGGATGCCATGGGCACCGCAGGATGAGTTCTGTGTTTGGCTCTGTACTCACAGCTGGGGTCTGATGGGGCAGGAGGGATTAACCCAGTGGAGCAGTGCTGGGAGAAGAAATGCAGTCTCTGTTTGCAAAGGTCCTTCAGCCCCCACTAGAGATCAGAAGAACACGACTGGCAGCCAGGAGAATCCCAGGCCTGGCTGTCTGGGACTGCAGGGACCTCCAGGAACGGCTTTGAAAGTTTCCCATTATGCAAAGTCCTGGTTAAATTAGCCTGGCAAATGAGGAGGGGGGTGGGCAGTCTGCCCTCTGCTCCATGCACCCACAGCATGCTCCTGGGCATCCCTGCCATGCTCTGGTGGTGGTTCACATGGGGATGGCAGAGAGACCAGAGCAATTGTCAGCCCTGGACGTGGCAGCTCTGCAGGACTGTCACACACAGAGTGTGGGATAATGGAGCAAGGGCTGTGGGTCAGCCAGAGCAGTGAGCTGTTGTCCTGGCTAGCTGGAGGAGCCAGCTGCAGGATCCCCCTGCGTGAGGGGATGGTGAGGGGCAGGGGATGGTGCTGGGGTTGGAGCACTGCGCTCCACGTGCCCTCGAAACCTGTTTTCCCCTTTTACGTAAGCTGTTCCAAACATGTTTGTTACAACCCCCTGGTGATGTACCTTTGGAAAGAGTGGTTTTGGGTCCAAAGATCAGTGCTGGGACAGTGACCTGCCCGCTGCAAACAAGACCCTGCAGAGTATAAAACCCCAGTGGCACAGTGGAGTACGGGACAGCCAGAGGCACGCCGAGGGCAGGGAGGAGGATGGAGGCCAACATGAACCTCCTGCATGATGTGGGCATCCAGACCACACACTGGCTGCAGCAACGCTTCCAGGGCTCCCAGGACTGGTTCCTCTTCATCTCCTATGCTGCTGATCTCAGGAATGCTTTTTTTGTCCTCTTCCCCATCTGGTTCCACTTCAGTGAAGCAGTGGGCATCAGGCTCATCTGGGTGGCTGTGATCGGAGACTGGCTCAACCTCGTCTTCAAGTGGTGAGTGGCCTCGAGCCAACACTCCCACCATGTGCTGGCACACCTGGAGTGATGTGGGCCAGATGGGTGCTCTCAGCCCCAGGGCTGGAGTAGAACAGAGTTCAGCCCCAGCTGGGCAGTGACAATGGTCACTCCTTCCCAAGCCATGCAGCAACAGCTCTCCCCCTCTGCTCCAAGCAGAGATGGAGCCTCCTGCAAACAGAGCCTCCCATCAGCCAGGGCTGGTGCTGAGTGGGGGGATCTCCACAGAGCCCCTCGCCACAGGAGGTCATATTGACTTGCTTTCTTTAAGTTCAGCTCTGGGGCTGGGGCTGGGGACATGGACAGGCAGTGTCAGCTGTCAGGACCAGGCAATCAGCTGGGTGCTGTGTCTGTCAGGATGCTCTGCACCTTGTGGGTCCTTTGCTTCTTCCATCTCCCAGGACAGATCTAAATCTGCAGTTGCACCCTGGATCTCCTCAGATCCCTTCTCTTTTCTTTTTAGGATTCTCTTTGGGGAGAGACCATACTGGTGGGTCCTTGACACAGACTATTATGGCAACAACTCTGCACCAGAGATCCAGCAGTTCCCGCTCACCTGCGAGACTGGCCCTGGTAGGGTTCCCCAAGCCATGGGAAGGGCTTGCAGCCAGGACAGGGGGGGCTTGCCCATGGTGACCTGAACAGGCAAAGAGGGGGGTGCTGGCCTGGCCTGCCTGGCAGCCTGCAGGGAGCACATGCCTCTGGACAGCTCTGGAGAGAGGGCCCTTGCTGCTGTGCTGCTGGGGACACTGGCTGTGCCTGCAGGGGAAGGAGGCAGGGCAGTCCCTACACGGAGCAGACTTTGACCCTTGGTGAAGCTGTGGTGGATCAGCACAAACCCCTGTGAGTGCTCAGCTCTGGCCCATGCAGAGTCTGACCTGGGTCTCTCTTCTTGCCCAGGGAGCCCATCTGGCCATGCCATGGGTGCAGCAGGCGTGTACTATGTCATGGTGACAGCCCTCCTTTCTGCTGCTGGGGGAGAGAAGCAGTCAAGGACACTGGGATACTGGTAAGCTGAGTGCCAGAACCACCTGTGCCAGGCAGAGGTGGCTCCAGCACTGACAGGCACAGCCAAGCCCATCCAGGTGCAAGGCTGTGGGCTGACAGCTGGGGTCTGCATGGCGACAGGCTCAGCGACAGCCAGGCATTGTTTGGAGTACATGATGGCAGTGCCATGGGCAGTGCAAGCTGGCCCTGGCACCGACATGGCCTCCTGTCCCTCACAGGGTGCTGTGGGCAGTGCTTTGGATTGGGTTCTGGGCAGTTCAGGTCTGTGTCTGCATGTCCCGAGTCTTCATTGCTGCTCACTTCCCCCACCAGGTGATTGCAGGGGTTTTCTCAGGTGAGTGTATCAGACCCCCCTCCCTGTCCCTGCAGCAGCACTGTGCTGGACTGCAGTACCTGCAGCACTGACCAATGCTCTCACTTTGTTACTGGCAGGGATGGCTGTGGCCAAGACCTTCCAGCATGTCCGCTGCATCTACCATGCCAGCTTCCACCGGTACCTGGGCATCACCTTCTTCCTCTTCAGCTTCACCCTGGGTTTCTACCTGCTGCTGTGGACATTCGGCGTGGACCTGCTCTGGACGCTGGAGAAGGCACAGAAGTGGTGCAGCAACCCTGAGTGGGTCCACATTGACACCACTCCCTTTGCCAGCCTCCTCCGTAACCTGGGCATCCTCTTCGGGCTGGGGCTGGCCCTCAACTCCCACCTGTACCAGGAGAGCTCCCAGTTAAAGCAGGGCCAGCAGCTGCCCTTCCGCCTGGGCTGCATCGCTGCCTCCCTCCTCATCCTCCACGTCTTCGATGCCTTCAAGCCTCCCTCCCACACGCAGCTGCTCTTCTACGCCCTCTCCTTCTGCAAGAGTGCTGCCGTGCCGCTGGCTACTGTCGGCCTCATCCCCTACTGCCTCTCCCAGCTCCTGGCCACACAGCACAAAAAGGCTGCCTAAGGCACCCCGACACCCCAGGGGTGTCTCAGGGGCAGCTACCAAGCCCTGGGTGCACCTCAGCCACTGTTTGCCTCCCGCTGAGTCTGCACAGGCTGATTCTGCACTGGGAGCAGACCATGGAGGCCGGGCTGGTGGTGCTGCTGGGTGGCTCCCACAACACGGACCCACAGTGCCAGTCACGCTGGGCTGGGGCTGGCACAGAGTGCCCTGCATGCCCACGACTCCCCTGCTGTCCCTCCTGCACCCACAGGTTGGGGTCACCTGCCCAGGACGCAGCAGAGGGAGGTGCTGCGCTCCCTTGCAGCCCCTGGGGACAGGCCACCTCTGTGCTGCAGGGCTGGGGACAGCACCACTGGCAGCAGGGCTCTCACCTCAGTGTGTCTGGGGTCTGCTGAAGAGGCAGCTCTGTGACAGGAATGGACAGACTGTGACACGGAGATCAAGTGCCAGTGTGAGGGACCCCCAGCCCTGGGACATTTGGTGTTCACCTCTGTGTGATCAGTGTGGGGGGCACTCACACCCAGGCGTGCACATGCATTACACGGATCTGTGCACACATCACATGGGGTGGCTGGGGTGTGAACAGGAGGTGTTTTATTAAAGCTGAAGGTTGTTTAGCTGGCGAGTTTGAGTGTCCTGCTGGCCTGCACCATGGGATGGGGATCAGCTCCTGGATACAGGGCTGTGCCATGGCCTGCAGATGGTAGAGGACATTTCTCCTATGGGCTGAAGACCCTCAACACCTGGAAGACATGTTCAAGCCAACAGGAAGGGCACTGCCCAGTGCCCCGGGTCTTCACCTTTTGCGCTGAGGTGCAGCTGAACACTGACAGCACAGTGGGGGCAATGGGCTGCTTTTTGTGCTGTTTATCCAATGTTTCTGGGTGCACTTTGTGCCAGGAACAGGGACAAACTTGAGTCATTTCACTGCTTACAGAAACAAGCTCAGCTTTGGGACCAACTGGCCCAGCTGGGGCTGTGCTGAGCCCCCAGGGTGTTGGGGACAGAACTGGCATTTTGCCATGGTGTGGGGTTGGGGTCATGCCCTTCCCACCTCAGTACCCCAGCCCAGTGCTCACTCTGCAGCAGGGCTGTGGGCTCAACCTGCTGCCCTCCACGCTGTGCAGTCTGTACAGCCCAGTTATCAACCTTCTCAGGAAACACCCTCGCTCAGTCTGAGATAGCCCAAAATACACAGGGAGGTGCAGATACTTTATTCTTGCCAGACTCTGTGTGCGTGAGTAGGATCACTCCCAAAGCACCAGCCCCTGCAGCTCTGACCCCACACCCAGTTCCAGGCCTCAGTGGTGGTCCCTGTGCTCTGATGCCATCCCAATAGCTCAGCCAAGGCTGTGGCCATGCAGCAGTCACACCAGCCATGGGTGGGAACCCCATCTGCTGGGGCTGCTCCCGTCCCCTTGCTCATGACAGATTAACGTCCTTAGGATGGAGGTTTCTTTTATTCTGTTTCTCTGTTTATTAGCAGCATCTGGGGTAAACCTGTCACACCATTTCTAGCAAGAAAGGGAAGGGTAAATTCTCAAATTACCTGTTGAGCCCTGTTGTGGCTCCACAGCGCCCTTTAGTTCCTCCAGAGGAGACTGCAGCAGCTCCAGGGCCTGCCTGGGCAGGAGAGGTGAGCTGAGGGGACAGCTCTGCCTGATCCCGAGGGAGTTTACAGCTGCATCAGCCTGAGAACTACCAATGGTCAAAAAATGACCAGTAACTGCACCCCACCAAGGGAAAGGACTTGGTATGTGGTGAGGAGTGATCTCCTGTCTGTTGGGCACCTGCTCTCCCTTCCAGCTGCTCTCTGCCTTGCCCAGCCCAACTGCCTCTTGCTTGAGCGTTCCTGCCAAGCAACTCCTCCTCAGCAACTGGCACAAAGCAAAACGCCCCAAAGTACTGCCAGCAGGAGGTCCCTTCTGGGTTTGGGAACCCTACAAAGTGGTTAACTAAGGACTACTTTAATCCCTGCACCATTTGTCCTGAGAATTGAGCCCTTGCAGAAAGACATCAATGGCAGATCCCCTCCCCATTTCCGTGAGCAGCCCACGCAGAGCATGTGCACACCAGCTGTTGGGTTCAGGTCTTTATTCTCTGGCAAGAAGCTAGTGGAGCCTATGCAAACAAATATAAGACAAACCTACTTTGAGAATTGTTTCTCATGCTCCTGGGTTTTGATGGCTAATGAATTCCTGGAGCAGAGCTTGCACTTCTCCTCGCCGGCTCATCTTGGCTGCCTTGCCCTGGAAGCGGCCGCGCTTCCCAGCTCCTTTCCCACCCAGCAGCTCTGCCACCCTGCAGCAGCAACACCACAAGCTGCAGCCCAAGCTGCTCCAGACAGCACACACAGATCCCTGCCTGGATCACACTGTGCAGCTGCTCAGTCTGCATCAGAATTCTTACCAAGTTAAACAAATCACAGAACATGTTACCTGGGACCTAAATTTTCAACTGCTTCAACAGGTCCAGCTAGAAGGAAGAGTCCTGCTTCTTTTTCATCTCCCACAGTCAGGAATAGCAGGGTTTCCTGTGGACAAAGATGGGCTTTGCTCCAGATAAATCAGTGCTTTCCACAATGGCCACAGAACACAAACAGCAAACTGACAATTCAGAAGTCTATGTGCATTACTGAAACTGAAACTGCTTGAAAAAAGTAAAAGGGCATCTGAACCTTTTGTGCCCAGTCATGTGCTGTTGGGACATAACAGTACTGGGGTATCCCAAGTTAAAAGGATATAGCTGGCAGCTGAACTAGGTTGTGACTGAAACCTGCTGTTCTTTCTATTCTACTCCTGCCTAATCCTATCCTAACCTATTTCAGCCAGTGAGGCTCTGTACAGCTCTTGGGGGCTAAGACTTCTCCAGGGCTCTGAATTCTCACTGGGGACTGCCCTACAGACTGAGGCTGCTGGGGACAGGTAACCTCAGGTACCTGTCAAAGGAACCAGATCTGCAGATCATGACTGTGGCAGGAACAGCAGCCTGGCCTGAAAAAAGAGTGGTGTCAGTTTAGTCTTTATTAGTGACTCACCTCTGTCCCAATCTCATTAGCAATGATGTTCATAAATTCAGAATCACCCTCTTTCCTGTATGGATGAATTAAAAAAAAAAAACACTTCAGAAAGAAGCAAAACCTCCCTCTAGAATACAAAATCTCAATCAGAAACGAAGTGCCTGATCAGGATTTTGGCCTCTTGCTCTTATTTGTCTATATATGTAAATCCTTGCTGGGCACTCCTTAGGAATTATGCAAGAGTTATCTTTAAGAAATAGAGCTCCCTGGTTTTATTTGAAAATATCAGGTGCATAGGGAATTAGATGGACACAGCAATTTCTCAGCTACAGCACCAGAAGAATTCAGTGACTGAATTACAGATTCCTTTAATTGCACTATTTTGCAGCAGGCTAAGGCAGTTTAATATTCTATTTACTTTGTTTACATTCTTCCTTGAGAAAACAATCTGCTCTCACAAGGTGTGAGAGATCCAACAGTCATAAAACGTGTGGGATACTGCTGGCCCCTCTTCCCTGAGCTCCCCCATACCTGTGCAATACAAACAGCTGCTTTGGAGCAGGTTTGCTCTTGAAGTCCCGGGCTATCAAAACAGCAATGTCTCTAAGCAGGTTCAGGTTATTCTGAAAGAAAAGGAAATTAACTGTACTGCAGCTGGAGAAGTCAGTGTGAACACAGTTGTGCTCCCAGAGGTTTCAGCACTTTTCATAATACTGCAGCCGAAGATTTGACTCCCAATTACCACAATTAATGGTCTAAAGGAAATAATGACAACCCACTTTTCCCAGCCATTCTTGTACCTTCTGGAGCAGTTTCACAGAGCTCTGCAGTCTCTTCACAGCCTCTACGTGCTCACCTGGTCCATTTCTGAAAGAAATGGGAGACTTTGGATCACTACTCTGAAGGACAAAGGAAGGATTTCCTAAAGGAGCAAAACAGGCAGCATCATACACAGCCCCACAACGTGTACCCTGAGGCTTATGGGGTGTCTCTCAGGAGGAGGAGTGAAGATGAAATAACAGAAGTGGAAAGGGCATTACTTGAGCAGGGAGGTTAGAGCCTTCTCAGTACTGTGACTTTGTTCGATTGACTTCAGCACTCTGTTTCCCACCAAGAAAACCAAGTTGGTTTTGTTCTTTTTCCCTTTTTCCACGCCAAGGAGTTTAATAACCTTAAAAAGAAAATCAACCTGGTCAGGACAGCATTTTGGTAATTCACATAGGTGGTCAGTTCCTGCCAGATTATGCCTTGTGGTGAAATTTGACTCTCTGCTAGTGAAAAGAAATAGATTAAAATCAGTCATAAGGTAAACATACAAAAAAAAGGACGGTGTTACAATGGAATTTATGCAACCTTGCAGCCAGGGGATGTACTCTACAAGGCATCTGGATGTATCTGCTAGGAAACAGACTCCAACCAATGACTGAGAAAGTACAAATACTTAAAGGCAGTTCTAGGATTTTATCACCATTTCCCTGCACAGATTTCTCATCCATGATGAGCACTCAAAAATATCAGAGCTTTAAACAGAGGGAATATGGCCAACACCCCTGCCAGTGTCACTGCTGCATACAGGGCTGAGCTCTGCAACAAGGAAACAAAAGCACCTGTGGCACCCAGCCCATGTGTGACCCTCCTGGGGCTCCCTCAGCCTGGGGCTGCTGCCACCCCCTTCCCCATCAGCACAGTCTGGAGCAGCCTGTGGATCCCAGAGACTCTGCCTGTACTTCGTGTGGAGTGTGGCTCCCAGAGGCAGCCCAGCTGCAGCAGCACACCTGGAGGTCACTCAGGTTGGAGACGTGAGTCCCACAGCACAGGTTGGAGTCGATGCCTTTGATGTCCACCACGCGCACTGGCCCTGCGTGGTCATCGGGCAGCCCCCGGCTCCTCACCTGCCACAGGAGAGTGACAAAGCAGGTGACATCTGTGCTCAGTTATTCCAGTCCCACGTTAGCCATCAGTTCCCTCCCACCACTCACTGTTTCAACTTCAGGGTCATCCGCAGCCAGTTCCCTCACTGTTACAGGGATCCTGTCCCGGATTTTCTCGTTCACGCTCTTCTCCAGGGCCTCGACCTGCTCTGCTGTCACCAGCGGGGTGTCCAGCTCAATGACACTGCGCTGACGGCCCAGCTCCCTGCACCAAGGAAGAACATCTGCTGCTGTAGCTGAGATCAGCTGGGACATCCCTTTGTGCAGCACCAGCATCCCACTGCTGGCAATGTGGTACTGAAACAAAACAGACTTCCCTCCTCCCTGTTATGTTCAAAGCACCAGGTGGAAACCAAACACTTAAGGAGGACAAGACAGAGCAAACACTTTGTACAACTTCTCTCCAGGTCAGTCACCTCTCCTGCAACATCTGAGCTCAAGTGAAACATCCAAATTGCTTTTGGTGTTTCAGGGCTCAGGCTCTGTGCAGGGTAGCATGGGGGCACATACCAAACGGGTCAAAAGGAACCTTTACCCTGCTCACCATGAAGTCGTCTTGAATCCAAACATCTGTTCTGCAACGGCTGAGATGAGATGCTGTCCTGGAAGAGATGTGCAAGCACTAGCTCTGAGTGCCACTGCTATTTTCAGTCGGGCTGTGCCTTTCCTGTTGACATTCTCCACAACAGGCGAGTGCTGGGCGCTGAGGGGCTCCTGCCAGTGCTCAGGAGCAGCAAGGAGACA